GTGAGCGAGTGAGTGCGTGCGTGCGTGGGTGATGCGAGGTTTTACGACGACGAGTGAAACCCAAGCTCGCAGGTCACCTACATTCCAGCGTCGCAGTCGCCTGGGTCTAGAGGTTACTTCTCCGTACGCTGTGCAGTCGCACATCGTCGCTCAGTCAACTGAGCGAAGTGGTTGTCGTCCCCGTATTCACGGTCTCAAGTACCTCGTGCGCTGTCTTCGTGATCCTCGTGTCTGCTAGAACATCGTGGACGTTCCACGATGAGCGTATCCCCAAGCACAAGGAAGTCTATAGTCGGCGCTCAGTCTTCGCGTCTGCTGTGATCATCGTGCCAGCGTTTCCTTGCAAAAACACTTGCTCGTGCACTTGTCGCGGAGTTTGATCTCCGTGGGAATCGAACTCACGTGTACTGCGCGTGAGCATGCTCCATTATTCGCTCGGACACGACGTCGCAGAGATTTTGATGCGCCTCAGGACAATTCCAAAGGTCCAAGCTCCACTCCACCAGAACCTCACCTGGCCCACGTGTGTCGACACCAGCGCCAGCGACGGTGGCCTCCAAGCTGTTGTCTGAGATGGCTTCTCGCTCTGCACGCTCGCTGCCGAGCGTGGTGTCTCTTGTTGATACGCCAGTGGCTTGATGTCGCGAGTGTCGCCGCTGTCTCCGCCGTTCCAGCAGTCTTCTCCAATGCTCTTCATCAGCGCTTATGTTGCGCTAGTGCAACTTTAGGAGGGGGTAATGTAATGGGCCCCTCCATTACATAAGTAGGTAGATTTCTTTACATAAGTAGGTGCATTAGCACACAACTAGCGTGTGCTGAAATGCTGTCATGCCATTGGCTGATATATGGGGAGCCAGACCTATTATTAGCCAATTGGACTATGACGTGTATTTGAGTGGCCAGGGCTGTGGCCTTGGTTCAAAAAATAAAGTCAGAGTTGATTTTTCCTTAACCTTAAGACTCAGTCGTTCTATTGCGAGCTTCCTCAACACTATAGTGTAAGCAAGTAACGGAGTAAATACCTGGCCCGTTACGCTCGTGGTTGCTCAGTCTGAGAATTTACCTTTAGGTATTTTAATTATATCACTTTTGATTGGATAATTAGTTGTGATTGGAAAATCAGGCGATCCTCGTTAAGTGGGGGGGGATTTAACAGGGTACAATCCAGAGTACCAGGTTACCTAAAGAGTGACCCGTCACTCTTGTGGACACCTGATACACGGTACCAGGTGCTCTAGGAGCCAGTCAGAGCATGACTACTTAGATCCACTATAGGTAACCTCTAGTTTGTATAGAGCCCAAGCTAAGCGTACTTATAAATACACCATTCTTACATTTACTCTCCTAAGCCGCAAACAGCTCCCTTTGAGGCCGGGAACACGTGAACTAACGTTCACGCGGGTAGTAAATACCCTTAAGCACTTTCTCTCTGCAAGGGACTGTGTGATCCCGTCACAAAGGGTCATGAATAAAGGCCACAATAGGAGTAATCATGTTATGGAACTTTTCATTGAGAGTATTACATGTGGCGAGACAAGGTGCTCACGCACATTGAGACGCCAGATGAAATGTTTCAGCTAGGGTTGTTGGAAACGAGGCTTACGTTGTCATGATGAACGTCCTTGCGATTACGCCTGAGAAACCCGTCATTTCGGTAGCGGGGTATATGTTTCAAGAGGAGGTGAAGGCCCAGCGCTGGTGCTGTCAGGACTGGGCTAGGGCTCGGCAAGCTGTTGAACCTATTCAACCAAGGGTTTCCTGGCGTTTTACGGAGAGATTTGCCGGATCTAGTGTCCAGGATAAATCCCTGTGACGTTTGGAAGGAACTAGGAAAAAACCTGAATCAGGGATGCGGGAGGCGTAATCGAGCTACGTCGCTAGTGGAGGCGTCTCCTTGCAGCGATCTGGGCCAACGAGGGCTCTTTTCGTCCAGCTAAAGAAGCTTCGTAGCGACATCAACATAGAGATGAAAAATCTTGTTGGCAAAGACATGGTGAGCGAGACCTGGCTGTGAAAGTGCTGTCGTCACTACCAAGCGAGTTTTGGAGAGGTTCAATTGGCATGACAGAAGAGAGGTCTGCTATTGGAAACATGGAGGTGACCCTTCGTCGCGTTTTCGGTGATCGCTCGAGAAAGGAAATATCGATGCTGACTGTTAAGAGGCGCGCGGTGTATGTCAACGTGGTGAGGACAACTACGGGGAAGAGGAGGAATTAAGGATAATTTCCCGGAGATTCAGTGAGAGAGTGAAACTACTGCTTTGAAAATGACCACTGGAAGAAGGTTTGCCCACTGAGGGCTGCCGATCATAAACCAAAAAGGCCTGGAGGCAAGCTGTTCCGACCAAACATCCGATCGGTGCCTGGCACAGAAAACAACGCGACCATGGCGCTCAAGAATGGGGGTAAGTCATTTCTGAGGGTGAGCTAAGACAAAGAACCCCCCCCCCCAGCTGAAACTGACATCAATTTGTTTAGGACGATTGAAGATATGGATGGTTGAGTACAAAGGGTGCACCACACCTAGGTCGCCACAACTGATAATGAAATGGGTGGTAATTGATTTTGATTGATGCGAAAGAAAATCTGATCAGAGCGAGCGAGTCGCGCATGGCCCGCCAAGTTTCTTTGCAAGAACATCTTCGTCGGCAACTTGCAAGTGTATGTGCGGAATTGTACCAACAAATGGGCGGTGCAGCAATACCGGTACATCGATCAGACCGACACGCTTTAAATAAGCAGCAAAATAGAGGCTCTCAATTGTGCAGCAGCAAGTAAGAAAACGTTTTGCAGCAAGTCCAGAATTGTTTTCGGGGATTTGATTGGCGGAACACATGTTTCTCGCTCTGCACAAAACTCAATGCAGGTCGAGGCTGCAGCTGCAATAAGAATTTTTTTCTGGCGGCCGTCGAAGATCGCATCTCATATGAAAAGCCGCCGTCCTCTTAGCACGGAGATCTCTTGTGCCGCTCACGCACGACGCATTCCTGTCTGCATGGAGATATCTCAACAAAATCTGACGCCGTCGAAGAATCCTGCAGACTCAGAGGGTCATGCTGATCAAAACGGTAGCCACTTGATCCTTATAGGGCACCAAGCTGGTAAAACTGGGCATGTGCAGCCGGCTGTGACTTCTGCACAGAACATCGCTGGACGTATTATTCATGCGTGCAGTTGAAGAGGCTGTAAGAAGCTTTCAAAGGACGAAGGTGGAGACGTGCTCCGTGTATGCAGTAAACAGATCTGCAAGCGGGCGGTTCACGCTGCTTGTGCTGCAGTGAATCTTTCTACAAACCGCTTGTGGAAGGCGCTGCTACAACGCGATAATGAAGCCCCCCCCAACGTCGACGCAGTCGAAGAAGCGAGTCCCTTGGCACAACGACGGACCAGCACCAACTGTTAGCTCAATCAGCGTACTTGTCGACTGGCTCACGGATGGCAATAATTACAATCGCTACCGAGGCGGAGACGGCCAAACTGGAGAGTCAAAAACAACGATTGCTGGCAAAATTAAAGCTAGAATCGAGGCTGCAGGAAAAACAACCATGCACACAGCCAAAGATAGTACAAACAAAATTAGGGCATTGGAGAGTTTGTTCAGAAACGCCGAGGACTGGCGAAACTCCTCAGGCCAAGGCCTTGGGCTCAATGAGCCTATTATTCGTGAAGCCCTCTTACTTCGGTGCTCGTACTACTTCGCATTACGTGCTGAAATGTTTGATCGAGCAAGTACACCCCCCCCCAGCTGCTTAACACGGACGCTGCGGCTTCTAAAGACGATACAGAGGATGACAGCGCCAGTTCAAGCGAACATGAACCTTCTGGAAGTGAAGATCCGAACAGGTCGACCGACAGAGCTTCGTCGGCGCCAACTTCAATTGCACGAAGACCGCCAAAGCGCCAGTGAAAAAAAAAGATGCTAAATTAGGTCCTCTTATAAAGTTTAAAGAAACGCAGCTTGCTCAGAGCCGTGAGCTTTAGTCGAAGTGCGCAAGCGCCAGATTTAACAGCAAGAACAAGAAATGGTGGTTCGACAGCAACAGGTGGAGAGCGATATGCGGTCTGTAAACGGTCGGGTTGAAAAGGCCAACGCGCAGGCCGCAAAGTTGCACCAAGAAACGGAACATTGACGCCAGAAACGAAAAATTGATTTACTCCGAGAGCTAAACATGTTGTTAAAGGAAGGAGTCCCGATAGATGACATTGACACGCTTTTACCGATGAGCTCGTATTTCTAGCATATAAGCTAGCAACTGTTGGTCCGCTCACCAGCAGCTGTCCCAGCAAAAACAGGCGCATTAAGTTCATCGTCTTCGTCAAGCTCACCAGTGATGCAGCTTTCAAGTTCTTCTTCCCACTCATTAGGACTTGGGTGGAAAATGAGTAAGTTATGGATAATATATTTACACAACACATACCGTATGAGACGTCTCATGTGCTTCTTCTTTTTTCCAAGCTGGACGCGGATTTCGCGTAGGTATTGTAGTTTCAATTTTAGAAGACCAATGCAGTGCTCACATTTTATCCTTGCTTTTAGCTTTCCGTCGTCGATACTGTGAAGAGCGTGCTGCGTATCTTGTAGCTTGCACATGCTCGTACTGTAGCAGCTAAAACTCGTCCAGCTCGTCTTCTCCTGAGTCTTTGTCACTGATTATCTCTCTATTGATCGCAGCGGCTTCACGCGCAGGCATGGTCTCCCTAAGCTGACGCAGCTTACGCTGCTTAGCTGACAGCCTCGGCATCTTAAACTTGCTAAGATCTCACAGCAGAGAGATGCCGTAAAAAACTGCTGCTGCAGCCGCAAAAAACGCAAAATGGGGTAATTATGCTGCGTATGATTGGTAAAAAAAACAATTGCTTGGCGAAAAACAAAATAAGAACCCCTAATACCTCATAATACTTGACGTGAAAGGTCGCTAGTTTCCGCCTATTTTTACCGGTATTTCAAATGAAGTAAAATAGCTGAGATTCTGAGAATGACTACACGTATACAGTACACCAAAGAGCCAAGATATTCATTCATGTGTAGAGCTCGCTAATTTATTTGACAGTTGTCTGGCATGTGTACAGTCCTGGGCCCCACGTGGCAAACTTTGTTTCCAGTGTCTACACAAAATGCATCGCAACGCGATACACTAGCGAGTGTTGTAGCAGGAACTCGTGGCGCTTGATCTGCACTTTGGCGCCAATCACTGGCATACTGTGCAAGAAGAGCGACAGGCTCGTGATGCTGCGCATGTAGGAGCGGCATCGCTGCCAGTCCGCCGACGCCACGGCGCCAGCTTGTTGCAGACCGCCCACCAGTAGAACCGTGCCACCCAAGAAGAACCCTGTTACCGCTAGCCCGAGCAGGAACAGCATGGTCTCTTGCAGGCCCAGAGTGGCCAAAGCCACTGCCAACGCGGCCATGATAATGTTCGAAATCAGCAGCTTGGCCGCGGCTCCAAAGATCGCAGCCTTGCCGCCAGACACGATAGCCTGTAGGTAGAGTTCCAGATACAGGCAGATAAATGCCATCGGCCTCCACAAGCACACGAACAAGCCGACGAATAGAGCGTCCAAAAAGTGGCTCTCGCAGGCGCGGTAGCCCACCACACGCCCCACCGTCGTGTTCCATCCGCCAGCATAGTGCGTGCTCTTGTTTGGAATCACGACGTTCTTGCGGCCACCTGTCAATCCATTCTTGACGATCCACTTGAGTCCGTCTTCGTAGCCCAAGTCAAACAACCACTCGACGTCGCGTACCCCAGGTGGCATCAGCGCCCACCACATGGGCACGTACACCGACGGCTTGATGTCCGCGCCAACGCAGTAGAACGGACTGATCGTCACTGTTTTATTGTTGTACACAGGCTGGAAGTCCAGCATGCCGCCATCCATGACCCACTCCCCATTGAGCTTGAAGGGTAGGCCAGCGATGGGTGGGGCGCAGCACGAGGCCAGCAACGTCTCCATCAGATGCTCCGCCGACTCAAACGTGGTCGCACGTCGCGACTTAAGCAACGACAGCGACGTGTAGACGATCGTGAGTTGCTGCGACACATTGAGCTTCTCAAAGTGTTCCATGCCGCCGTGGCGCGTGAGCGTGTCGTGCAGGTACGATCGAACGCGGAAGTGGCTGGCTAGAGATGAGTGCGCCTCCGGGACGATATTGTGTAGCACGTGATCGCGGATGGCGTCGAAGTCGCATTGCAGTGCCAAACCCGTGGCTGTCAGCGCGCCGGCTGAGCAGCCGATGAGCTGCGCATTCTTCTCGAGCTCGAACTCTTGCAGCGCCTTGGCAACACCGAAGAGGTACATCTTGAGCCAGCCACCGCAGGCGAAAGAGAAGGACAGATTGGTGTCCACTGCATTGCCGACCTGCTGCTTGGTACCACGACGATAAGCCATATTTATTTGAGTGGAGGCCCTGTGCCGCTGGCAGGGTGAAACCAAGTCTGAGCAGGAATAGTTGACGTGTAACGACGCGCGACGATCGAATGCTTTCTGATGTTCGGTGACGTGGTCTGTGACATTTGTGGTTCGTGCGTCTTTTTGATACACAAATGTGGCAGTAGCAAAAATTCGAAGCTGGAAAATGACAGCTGTGTGTCAGGATATGGTGTTTTGAACACCATTTGGCTGAATGGTTGAAGTGGTTGAAGCGAAGACGGAGTCGTTGTCTGAACACCAGGAGGATAAGAGCAGATCTTATCAAGTCGAAGTTTTCAACGAGTAGATTGAGGTCTTCCGACTCTTCTACTTCTGAGCTGGTGCGGGCGGGCTTGAGCAGGGAGGATTTCCCATCGACAGTCTAGCGAAATTTGCAGTTGCGCTGGTGGCGGCACCGCGCTGTCACTGACAGCCTGTCAACTGACAGCATGGCACCGCATGCCCGCATGACTACAATATATATATTCACCCTTGTGATAGATCTTTTGCTTGAAAATCTTACCTGGATTCTGGTTTGATGCTCCCAGAATAAAACCAAAAAGTATTAATAAGCGCTACACCATCGAGGACTGATAAATCGTACTATTAATACGCAATGCAGATCCCTCTCGTAGAGGCTGACACCTACATGTAGTTGGCAAATGCAACGCGATTCACACGCACGGGAAATCTACGTTGGTTAGAATGCATGTAGTGCGCCAGTAGTGGCTCAGGATTCACCTTCCAAGAACGATACCTTTTTCAAGTTTTGAAGCGCCAATCTTCACTTGATGGTTACTCTCAGTTTCGTTTTAAGCAAAGCCTAATGGAAACCGAAAGAGCTCGCAGGAATGGATTAGTTTGTTCTGCTTCATCCTTCAAAGTATGTACTGTACACTGCGGCAATGTCGCCCTTCTCTTCGAACGCACACCGCTGCATGATGATGCATCATTGATGCAGTGCATCAATGCCTGACAGCAGGCTCACCTACTGCGAGTGGTATCCCTCTGAGCAGCAGCTTCTTGCTGGCATGTGCTTTGTTGGATACTTTCCTGGCTCAGTATCCTCCTTTCTCTTGCCACATTAGACTTTGTATTTGAATCAGTTATGGCTTCGCCCGTTAGTCGATTGGTCTCCCCACTGGAGTCCAGTGGAGAGACTGGAGTCCACATAACAACAGACAGCTCAGTCCGTACGTCCGTCCGTACGTTCCTCATTCCTGTTTCATCGCCCATCCGCCCACTTCTATATTCACGTCGCAATGCCCAAGCGGTCGCAACTACTGACATTGCTGTCGCTGTGGCTCACGTCCGTGGCGGCGGTCACCGCTGGCGAGGACCCCACGATCGATGTCGCTCCGTCCTACGATTGCTCGGGTCCGTCCAGCACCGGCGACAGCTTCATTGATTACGACCATCTCGTGCACTGTACGCCGCTACTAGAGAGCTCTCCTGTCCTAGCCAAGGTGACACTCGTGCTGTGTCTCGTGCTGCTGTTGTATCTACTGAGCTCCACGGCCGACGAGTTCTTCTGCCCGGTACTGCAAACCATCGTCGAGAAGTACCGCATTCCGCCGCACGTGGCGGGTGTGACGTTCCTGAGCTTCGGTAACGGATCACCGGACGTCTTCTCTAACATCGCGGCGTTCGCTACACCCATGCCATTCATCGGCGTGACTTCCATCCTCGGTGGTGGATTATTGGTGACGACCGTCATCACGGCGTGTGTGGGACTAGTGTCGGACGGCCAGGATCAGTTGATCCCACGCACGTATCTACGCGACGTAGTGTTCTACTTGATCGCTGTGCTGTATCTAGGACTGGTGTTTTTCGACGGCGAAGTGGGGCTTTTGGAAGCGGTAGGCTTCCTATGCATCTACTTAGTGTACGTGCTGGTGGTGTTCTCGGACAAGTATTTAGCCCGTTGGTGTTTCCCCTCAAGAGTCCCGGAAGACTCGATCTACGCTAAACTAGACGACGATGATGATCTACAGTATTGGTCGTCGTCTTCCATGAGTGAGAAGAGTCTTGCCGAGAGTCCGTTGATGCTCTTACACCCCACAGAACAGAAACATCGGCCGTATCTGAAGAGCCAAACCATCCCAGTGTACGACACGTTCAATCGCACTACAATTTTCTCGGATTCGGAGCAGTCGGAGCCGTCCCCACGCTTCCTGGACCGAATGTTGTATCGTAAGAGCTCTCTACCTACGCCACGGTCAGAGCCTCATATTAGCAACGAATTGGGACCGATCGAAGGCCAATCGCTGCTGGAAGTCACGGATGTTCATCTGAAGCGTCCGTCGTCCATGTGTGTGGGGTCAATCCAAGATTCACTACGTCGAATGAGGCGGCAAAGACGTCGACGCAAATCGACATGGAAGTCGCTAGAAATGAGCGCTCAATTTGGGGCTTCAGCCAGACGCTGGACACGTGGATATCACCCTCATGCACTCAGCGACATTGAAGAATTCTCGCCTACTGCTGAGAGGGGGGAAGTCGAAACGGAAATGGAGGAAACGTCAGAAGACGAGACGCAGCGCAAAGAGTTGGAAGCCAGAGAAGAAGCCGAACAAGATGAACAACTCGCAATGGAGGCAAGTATAGCTGTGTCCTCCTTCGATCGAGTAAAGGTTCAAGAAAAAAGATGGACAAGAGTTATTGTACGAGCAGGACGAGGTGTCTATGGGGCCTTGACGCGGTTCATTTGGACCCCTATCGAGGTCTTCACTGTGTTTCTTCGACGACTTACGATCCCACTGGTGGACGAGGATACCTGGAACAAGAACCTGGTCGTAGTGTGTCCACCCTTTGCGATGCTGCTGTTCGGCATGTCGGTGTTTTCTTTCAGCTTTGAAGATCCCGTTTTCCTCATGACAGTCGTCGTGGTGGGTGGAACCCTCAGCGGTATCATCGAGTACTCCACTTCTCCCGTTACACCACCAGAAGGCTGGCAATTGGCACTTTTGATCTGCTTAGCTTTTGTCATGTCGGTCATCTGGATCATGAATATCGCCAACGAAGTGCTTTCCGTCTTGGAGACTCTGGGTCAACTCTTTGGGATTTCCAGCTCCGTTCTAGGAGTATCGGTACGTGAAATATTGAGGTTTGAAGAATTTCATCAGCGTGTCTTAACTGTTGTGAATTTTTTATTGATTTTCAGGTTCTGGCATGGGGAAACTCGATCGGAGACCTGGTTTCCAACATGGCTATTGCACGCGATGGCTTCCCTACTATGGCGTTCGCAGGCTGCTTTGCAGGCCCAATGTTCAACTTGCTGGTCGGCGTTGGCTTGTCGCTTACGATCGCCATCATTTCACGAGGTCCTCTCTCCATGGGCGAGCCATCTCCGTTGGTTTTCTTGAGCTTCGGGTATCTCTTGTTGAGTTTATTGCTGAACATTGGGATCGCATCCTTCGACGGGTTCCGATACCGGCCACGACTTTGCTACACGCTCTTGACATTGTACGCATCATTTGCAGTTATCTCCATAGCCGTAGTGGTGCATTATCCTGAGGAATAACGTGAGTCTTTCGTTCATCTATCGTTCGACCATCACAATGTTATTGTATTCACTCACATGATGTTCTACAAGTGTCATCCTACTGGCTGTTGAGGTTCATTCGCCCGAACTTGGCTTCATCAAAGTACTCTGCTTTGACCTTGCGACCTCCAAAGAATCGACCATGCAGCCCCATCAAGGCTAATACAAGCACACGACTTATCAGTTGTAGATCTACTCCATGGTAGCGGGCTCTTGCTGCACTCAACTGTACCTTTCGTAGCATCTTCGGTGTCTCTGAACTGGACGAAGATCCGAACTGCTTCTTCAGGCGAAACTCTTCCCGTTACTTCGTAGATCACGCACCTTGTCACAGGCCCGTACTTCTCCGAGCACTCCTCCTTCACCTCTTCTTGCAACTCGTCGTCCACTTCGCCTGGCCCAACCATATTCTAGAAACACACACAGCACAATCAGCACAATACTTAAGGCCACGTGAACATTAGTTTCACCTGTAACAGCACCACTCGGCTAGTCGAAGAAGCTCTGGCCGGCGACTTGCTATCCCAACCGCTTGTTTTTCGGCGCTTCTCCATCGACAAAGGACGCTCATTTCGACTGTCCCGACGATCTTCATGTCGCTGGTCTTCCTGCTTTCGCTTTGGTCGAATTTCTCGTCCGAATTCATCCAACTCTGGTCTTTGTGAGTGAAGACGTTCGGTAGTATCTCTATCCTTGCGATGGCCACCACTCTCCGTGTTTCCACGATGTTTAGCATTCGTTGCTTCTCGCCCGGGCGATGTCCGCGATGACAAGAATCCAATCCCCCTGTTGAAGAAACCAAGGCCACCTCGTGACTCTGCGGCGTCCTCAAACTGCCCCTCAGTAGCTGCTGCATTCACGTCTGAGCTCTTCGATTCACACTCTCGATCGCCATCGTGCTCGCTCTCGGGTTGTGATGCCGCCACCGCAGCGTTCTCTTCGCTGTAACAAGGACAGCACTTAGTAAGCCTCACGTAGACACGCACACCTACAACAACGACGAACATTTTCTTGCGCATCCAGGCCGGCATGGTCATGCCTCGTCCACGTCCAGCAGATACCGGCAGCTTCATCGCTGGCGCTCGCCCATCAGCCAGATCCTTGGCCAATTGCTCACGCTCCAACTTGCCCTATACGCAACGCATCGTCACACCTTGTCCATACACCACACTTAAGCTCCTTCCCAACCTCTCTCTCCTGCTCTCGTTGTCGTCGACTCAGCTCCTTCTTCACTATATCCATCTTCTTCCTATCCTCTCGTTCCTTGCAGTAAACTTCGTAGCTGTTAGGTCTGGTCGGATGGTACTCATCTCGATATGTCACCTGGAAAAAGTGACCTCCACCTGCACCCAGACCCATTTCCAGGTCCTCCTTCTCCTGATTTTGAGCTTGCTGCACAGACGTCACCTTGACCTCTGTGGCCGCAACGTATCCCAATCCCCTGCCTGCGGGCCGAGGCGTTTCCTGTTTGTGCTCCTGCTTCTTCTGGATCACTTGACTGCTCGCAGTTGCTCTCCTGGCCACTGACGCTGGCTTAAAGGCCAATGAGATGGCCGAACGTGTCGGGCTTTTACCTCTGCCTGCAGCTAATGCAGCGGGCAGCATTGACATACTCTATTTGCAATAAGGGCCAACATGAGTCCATTTAAAGTCCGAATTTTCTCGTCTGCGGCCCCCAAATCGTACACTGGTGGTCACTGATGTCGGTCGACTGTTATTCTTGTTCTTGGCCGCCTGTGGGACCATCAGTGGCGTGCTGGCCCACACTACAAGTCGAGAAAAGAGGGTTTTACGGAGATTTAGAAAGGAGTCAATGGGTCTTTTTCAGGCATATTTCTCAATAGTATTAGGCGTGGCTGAGATAAAAACGCACCAGAGCTGGTAGAGGACAGAGAGGCCTTGGGCTTGCCGTCTGCATCCAGCGCTGAGGACGCCTTCGCGCCCTTGGCCAGCGGCAAGTCCGCGTACAAATCCATGGCCACAAGGTGAAATTCTGTTGTGTTTTGTGAGAAATAAAACAAAAATTCGATTGACAAAAGTGGGTATGTTCTATTTTGCACGAAGCAAAATGGCTACATGTACAAAATGAAGGTGGACGACTGTGTCCACGCCTATCGTAGTCCTGGGTAATGCTTGAGAACGAACTCCTCCGTTCCCAATCACATTTTCCTACTATAGCAGCCAGAATTTTCAGTTTTCTTCCTCTTCAGCCAGCAAGTACTGGTACATGGCGTCTTCGGACTTGCAAAAGTGCCAGATACTCGGCGATGCCTGGAAGAGCTCCACCGACCGGTTGAAAGTCATAAGCTTTACACTGATATCTTCAATAAAGCCCCACGAGTTCTCCTGTACGAAATCATCACAAGATCACAGTCAGTTATCTCTGTCACGTAATACAAATCTCGACGTAGAACTCACGTAAATGGAGCTCTCCAGCTCAATCGCGTCTTGGCAAAAGTCCGTCGCTTGCTTGATATCTAGATCCAGACTTTCCACCGCAGCGAATGCCACTGCCATTTCGTCCCGTTTCTGGTTCATAATCTCCAAACACGACTTGAGATTCACCACTAGCGACGACAATCCGTTGAGTTGCTGGCTTTGACCTATTCACAAAAAAGTAAAAACAAAATACTCAGGTACTAAATATTCACATCCACCAAACACAGCAACGTACGGGTGAGCATGATACTGGACGGTGTCAACGCCGCAATCCCCGAAAGGAACAAACTCTTGCCAGCAAGTGAAATGGGTACACTCAGTCCACTTGTCGCTGGAGCAGCTACCACTCCAGCGACACCCACGACGGCTCCAGCCACCACACCAGCGGCACCTGCAGCCACACCCGTGCCACTAAAGTCTGCAGATCGCCCTCTCATATGTAGCAGCGTGATACTTTGCACCATCAACTTGGTGCACTCAGTTGTCAAGTCATCCAGATCATCCAAACTCTCTCTCATCTCCGACACCATCGACTTCGCACACTGGGCCATCCTCGCTAGCGCCCACTCCGCTCGTCGAGCATTTCTCTTCTCCTCATTATGGTCCTTGGTCTGCAGAGGTGGGATCACAGCTTCCCGTAATTTACTCAAATAGTCCGTCAGAGTTGCGGTCTCGGTCGCACATTGGGCGAACATGAGGTTGCATTGCTCTACATGCGCTTGACTGCGCTCCACGAGCTCATCGCACTTGGCCAGTGTACTATTGGCTAATTTGACGAGTGTACGCAGTCGATTGGAGAATTTGAAGGCTTTTTGAAGCTTGTGTACGACCTCTTGGAGCTGCTGAAGTTGCTCCTCTTCCGTCTCCACTATGAGCCACTCGGCTCGCAATACGCGCTCCGAGTCGTCGGGTGTGAAGGCCTTCTGGACGGAGTTCACCACTCGGTCGAGTCCTACACCCTGGATGCCTTTAATGATGGCCATGCGACTGCTCTCGAAGATGTCGGAGCCCGAGCGCTTCTTCGTCTCCAACGCGGCATCATTCACGCTCACGAACGACTTAGCGCTGGGCAAGTCCTCTGTCGTGAAGCTACGCTGTGTGGCCTGAGGAGAGAACTTGCCGCTGCCGTGCCGCACCAGCGCCAGGTCGTCACGGCTCTCTTCCGCCGCCACACGCGTGTACCTCGGAGTCAGCGCCATCGCCTTCTTCCGGTTCGAATTTTTATGAAGCCTTGTATGCCGCGGGCAACTCAGGTGCAATACGAAAACGCGTTCTGATTGGAAGAAAACTAGGTGTGAAATTTAGCAGCTAAGGAGCAAGTACAGACTGTACACAGCTTGTCCCGATTCAGATGCAACTGAGCTACTGGCTGGCATTGACACACCTGCATCATGGGCAACAACAAGCGTCGTCGTCAGCAGCGCGTTAAGGCCGTGGGCGCGCAGGTAGAGGAGAGTATTCGACAAGATGCAGAGGACAAGAAGCTTAAGCATGTGGGGGCCGACCAGCTTTTCCAGGTGGACAGCAAGGGCGGCGATGTGTCTGCTCCTATAACCAAGAAGCAGAAGCTCGAGAAGCTACAGAAGGACCCACTGCTGGCCAGTACGCGCAAATTCGACGCTGCGAAGGCCCATAAAAGCGAATCATTGGCCGTAAAGAAACTGCAGCAGAACCCTCCGTTAGAACAACAGAACCCCAAGAAAACTACCAAGGTCAAAGACCTCTGGAGTCAGGACGGCAGTGTCAAGGACGACGAAACGAACCAGCAACTGGACGAGTACGTGGCGCCTGTGGTGGTCAAGAAGACCAAGAGGCGTAAACTATTGGCCTCTACCAAGCACAATATCCCGACTGTGGAGGTGGCGGCTGCAGGCCAGTCGTACCACCCGGACTTTGACTCGCACCAAGATGTCATGGCCGAGGCTGTGGCAAAGGAGCTGGAGAAGCGTGAAAAGAGAGCGCAACTACAAGAGCCTGTGGCCAAGGGCATGTCGGAGGAGACTTTGCAGTACATTAAGCAGAACTCGGACGACGAATCGAGCGACTCTGAGGACGACGAAGACACGGACAGGACGACGCTCAAGCGGCCGGAGAAGGTGACGCGTGCGCAACGCAACAAGCGCTCGAGACATAAGCAGATGGAACTGGAACACCAGATCCGCCGTGGCGAGAAGGCCATCATCAAGCAGATCAACACGTACGTCTGAAGAATAGAGAGAGTAGGTCAGTACTGGCATGGCTAACGACACATGTTGTGGTACAGCTCAAGTCACATTCTACAGGACATTGTGAAGAGCGAGAAGGAAGCAGCGAAGAAGCAGGAGATCAAGAAACTCCAGCAGGAGCAGAAGTTGCAGGAGGAGCCGCTCGTCCGCGTGGCCGGCAAGTACATGTAAGTGGACGATGCGACGTGTTTTATTGCTATTAATTGGTCCTCTGACGTTGTGTTTATGCTCTGACTACAGTAAATTGGAACGTGAGACTCCGGTCTCATTCTCCGAGGAGCTTACGGGTAACATGCGGACGCTGAAACCCAAGGGCAACCCGCTTTTGGACCGCTTCGACAGTCTGCACAAGCGCAACCAGATCGAGATTGGGCGTCCCAAGAAGACACGCAAGGCCAAGGTGAAGATCATCGAGGCCAAGAAATAAGCGTCGACTTGTTCTTCTCGTACTGGCTTGTGGCCTGTAGATAGACTATGGATAACATTTTCTTCTTTTTACGTATCTCCGTCCACCTATAAAAATAGTGACCCTGCTCACTCTTAGGACTCTGCAAACTTGAGCAGTTTAGTTCTCGTTCATCACGAGCTTTGTCTCGTCACTATGGCCACAGGCTCTGTCATGCGGCCTAGCGTACGCTCTAGTTCTCTCACGTATCAAGTTGAATATAAGCTGCTGATACACGTTTGCTGCAGAACTTCCGCCACGATAAACGTGGGGCGCAGGTGGTGGAGATACGACGAGAGGAATACGAACGCACCAAGCGCTCAATTCTCAAGAAAATTCGACGTCGTTTGGTGATCCTCGGAGTGATCATTGGTCTCCTTTCGGTCGTCGCCTTCATTCTCGGTGGTGTACGTTGAGCTAACTCATTGCGACTCTACGTAGTCTTGTTAACGGGTAGCTGTATGTTGTCGTAGGTCATTCGTGGCTACTACTCGAACATTGTCAAGTTCCATCGAGTATCGGGTCACGTCACCTTGAACAACTTGTATTTCATCTACGCCGCGGTCTCACTGACCTTCAGTTTTCACGGATTCTACATCGACGGCAAGTGGCGGAAAATGCAGCAAGATGGGAACCGGTTGATCATGCACGTGCGCACATTTTTCATTCTTGGAGTTGGATCATGGGCACTGGGTTCGCTAAGAAATACCTTTGAGAAAACGTGAAGTGAAATGGGTCTCACTGGTTGTTATTGCAAATGCAGCTTTGTGGTTGGGCATTGCGACGCTATCGGCGTTCGGGTTGGTGGAGCTGCAGTACATTGCATCGTCCAATGCCAATATTATCTACCTCACCACACTGATCATGATAACTGTATGTCTTCCACTAACTGGAGACTAGTGCATGTCTAACCTATGTGCCTTGTAATTTAAAGGTGCATCTCGTTACCTCGCCATGGCTACTGCGTACAATTCATCGTAAGGGATCTCAAGCAGATGAATTCTTTGGGTACGTCGTTAAATTCGATCGTTACACGTTCATAATCCAACGTTCGTGTGCTTCGCAGGGCCGAGTTTTTGTCGGATATTCGTCGTCCTCCAAAGAAAAATGGCGACTACGACGACGAGTCTAGTCACTCGGACGAAGACGACAAGGACACCAAAGCGGCCGCTGTTCAGCCTGCCACTACATCGCCACGAGAATCCAATAGAGGAGCATCACAGCGGATAGTTCGACGTCAAGACAGCGCAAAAGCTGGACTGAACACTCGCCCCATGCTTCACTTGCAATTAGCTATGGAAGGAGACGAAGACGTGGCGCCACGATCACCACGTCGACAACCAAGTGCACGCTCTGCTTCCCCTCGAATCCCGACGCCGGTTACGCAGTCTGTTGTGGGCACATCTCCGCCTGTGGATTCTCAGGGCTACAACCAAATTCCTTTCGCGTCACCTGTCTTTTTAATGAGCCCGGACGCGAACCTCGCAGCATCGAATTTCTGGCAGCTTTGGAAGCGAACCGAGACCACGTGAGGATTTCTATCGCTGCATGACACTTTGTATGATACTGACTAAACTGATGCGATTGTCGATAGTGGTGCCTTCTCGTGCACATTTGCGAATCAACCTTCTCGCGTCGAGTTGGAGCAACATTTGGCTGCACACGGCTTCCGTGTTGTAGCAGCAGAGCAGAAGGACAGCGTGCTGCAAGTGTATTTTTATGCGTCGCAATACGGCACCGACACATTCTTCCTGTGCGAATTTGTGCTTCTTTTCGCTCGCAGATTCTTCCAGGCCACGTTCAAATGCAGTGTAAGCTCTTGCCTCGAGTCTATGAACTCAAGTAATTCTAATGAATGCGCTGTAGGAACGAGAGGCTGCTTCCGACTTTGTCACAAGGTTTAATCTCCAGGATCTACTGGTTGTCGAAGGAGAGTGAATGTATTTTTACCGAAGCAAATAGATGACGAGGGCAATACTTTGTGGCCATTTACATGTGCACCTCCAATTCGGCACCGGTATCAGTCGATACCCTGCCAGATTTTATGATTACGTGAATCGGATGCGCAATTACCTTTGCCCATCACCACCCTAGCAATTAACCTCAACGGTTTTCCCCTCCTCGCCGAGGGATGACATGCCGCATCGATCTGATTTTAAATTTTGGATCGGACGTCTTCTTACAAACACACACTTTGATTTTTACCGCCAAAGACAATGGGACATCGCCCTTCCTCCTACATGTCCCACAAAAGCAGTTTGTGCGAGAAGCACAAGTCAGATCCTGCATGCTCTCACTCCGAACTTGCTCGTTGGGCAGCGGAGCAATTTAAGACCCCCCAAGCAGTACCGTAAAACACGGATTCAATGCTACACTGGTAAAAAGTTTAATTTTAGTATAAATTGCATAGAGTCGTGCGCACTTCTTACACCCGTAAAAACTTGTGTTCACTGCGCACCAACAATCTCACTTCCGCGCCAAAATGACACCCGCCCCCATTGTGCAAATGACACGGCGCCCGAAGAACAAAAACAAAGCCAAGCTGCGAGGGCTTTTACGCCTCGGAGAGGCCAGCTCAGTCGTCGCCTTGGCTGCTGAGCTAGGCGTTCACCGAACGACAATGTACCGGTGGATGCGGCAAAAAAATGTCCTTGCCAGTGCCGCACCAAACAAGTACTACGCCTCAGTACCAAGCCGCCAAAACCTCTACGTTAAACACCCGAATCTCGAGCAAAGGTATTTTTTATTTATGCATTAAATTCCGAATACTAGTAATTGTTCTAAAAGTGTATGATTAAGACTGTTGTCGTGGATTACAGAAATGCGCAAAAATCGATCTCTCTGTGTTTCGATGCAATGTCTGCTTCTAATGCATTCTAGGCTTGATGGAGAGCTCTTTGCGAGTCGATCCCGCGGTGCAAATATCGAGTTTTTGCGCCGCTTTCTCAAACGTAACAGGCTTTCTATCAGACGCATTACTCATAAAGACCGCAAGATAAGATCCGACATGGAGGTAATGCTAGTAATACTGTTTATTTTCTAACTTCTATTTTATATTTTGTGTTTTAGCTTGTTGCTTCAAAGTTTAGCCACTCAATTCAGTACGCAATTGAAGAGTGTGGAGCTCTTTCATATGCCACGGGCCCGTCCAAATACGGCTCTGTGTTCAACATGGATCAAACTGCAATTTACATTGACATGAATGGCAAGACAACAATCGACTTCGTTGGAACTCCAACTGTGGACGTCAGACAAGGTATTTTTTCAATTACTAAAAATATTTAAACTAATTAATTTTTTTTACTAACTGTGCGTATTGTAGGAAGTGAGGTGAATGGGTTTCGCTGCTCTGTATTTCTAGCTGCATCAGCCACGGGAGTTAAATTGCCTCCCCTCGTAGTTTTTGCGGGCATTCCAGGCGGCCCAGTTTCACAGGACGTTTGGAATCCGTCCTTTGGACACTCATCATGCGAACACACTGTCCAAAAGAAAGCGTTTTGCAACGAAGCTGTGATGCAAGAGTGGATTCAACGCGTACGTACAATATCGGTTTATTTTATTGTAATTATGAGTTTCTAAATTGTTATGGTACTAGATCTGAAAACCCTCAGTAGATGGCTGTAGGTTACTCCTGTTGGACAGCTTGAAAGTCCACAAGATGAATTCTGTTCGTACCGTGCTCGAAGAAGACTGCTGCACGCAGGTTGAGTTTGTTCCGCCGGGGATAACAGGGCTGGCGCAGCCGATGAACGTTGCTGTGATGAAGCCATTCAAGGACTATGTGCGGTAAGTTTTCGTTTTGCTTTATCATAAATATTTTCTTATTGTTATTAAAATGCAGAAATAGCTACTTGGCTTACCACATTGATCATGAGTTCCCAAAGACCCCACAAGAGAAGCGTCAACTTATTTCGCGCTTTGTAGCAGAAGGGTGGGCTTCAATCTCGCCGGCGACGATTCGAAAGGGATTCGCCGAGAGCGGGATACTACCTACTGGGCGTCGAAATATAGAAGACCGCTTCAGAGTACCAACTTATGCAGAAAAAGAAGCACCGATTCTAGAAGTAGATCAAGAAATATAAAATGGATACACTGAGTAGGATGGGTGAAACCTTTAAAGAATTGCCTTTTTGTTTTTGCACATCGTGTGATCTGCATTTTTACTCTTTGTTGCACTCGATCCGTGTGTAGCATTGGATCCGTGTTTTACGGTAAAGCGTACAGTATTCTTAAGCGGTCCGCGGAAGTTGCCGCCTTTCCGGACGCCTATCGCGACCGGAAGCGCTGTTGCGCGCCCGCGATTCGCGCGTCTGACGCCAGATTATGCAGAAGATTGGCGTAAATGTTGTACTGAATTAACAAATAAAATATTGTAAGATACAGTTCATGTATTATTAATCGTGACTAGCCATATAAGTCATCGACAGTAATCGGGCAAAAATTGTTTCAACAAAGGAGCACACTCGTGGGGACGAAGATCGACGCGAGCTAAGAGCGTGTCAGCATAGCGGTAGGCCGTATCACCACTGAGTTGAGCTCTACCTTGTAGGAACATCCTTCCAGGAAGCACCATGAGGCGACGCCGTACATGTAGCTTTTAACACATATGCGCTGTGATACCAGGCATATCCACACAAAGAAATACATAGACCAGCGATCACAATACTGTACAACACCTTGCAGCGATCTCCACCCCGCATTGGGGGCCACGACCAAGGATAAACAGAGTTGGTGATGATATCAATGTCAACTGACCTCGATGGGACGCCTTCTCGTTGTTTTATCCGACAGAGGCTACCAGGAATTTCTTATCAATAACAAGTCAGTGCTGCACTTGGTCTCGTGTTCAGGTCCATTAGGTCCATTGTTATAGTTGTACAATGTCTGCAATCACACCATGTCGAGAGCAAGACTCGTGCAGACAGACTAGCCGGGGCGAGACATGTTGCAGAAAGATCGCTTATCAGGGATACCTGTAATCAGGTAAACTCGTGCGGGATGTGCAAGCTAGTGGTGGATCCACACATGACCTCCGCTCGTGGACTGGTGCTGCTATTGTTCCAACGGGGAACAATTCCCTTGGCGCGCCGTCTGCGAGCACCTCGTTCGCGTCGGCGCCTGCTGGCCACTCAATAGTTTACTTGCCATGCTACAGATCGCTGTGCGGGCAGCAGCTCCTCTTCCCAGCACGAAGCCCATGAGCTAAAAGAATCGTCGCGGAGGCAGCTGGGGCCCAGCCTGGGCGTCGCCTCCGACAAGACGGCGGGGCACGGGATTTGCTGCGGAGAAATGCCAGCGCCAGTTGATGACTACGCGTGGTGCTGGCGTTGTGGTGAGAGGGCGACAGCGTGTACATGTACATGCACTGCTAAAAGGCCTCGGTAGGCCAACTTGGTGAGCTTCGATGCCCTTAAAATTAGGTTACCCGCAACAATGGCGCCGTGCTTATCGAGCTTATCATGTTGAATTGGCAACGATCTTATTCGTTCAAGTGTCGACAACACGACGCGGATGGCTACATTGGCGACTTGGCAACCGCACGTCTCACGGGCGGAGACACCACCGTCCCGGAAGGAGACGGTGTACGTCCAACTCAAACTCGCTGCATCGACATGCGATACATGTGCCTGCATCTTGCTTCTTTGAGCGTTGGCGTCGCGCTGCTTATAATAGAAAAACATATTCCGAATGTATGCCTCGCAGCTGGACCCTTTTATTTTAGCGTCACGAGCCGAGTCTCAATTAACGTCGCCTTGTCGTTATGATGGGCACCGGTTCAACTTGAACGGGTACTGCCGGTTACAGTTTGGGCGGCGGGACGTAGCACGTTTGCAGGCACTTTCGAACTCGATGCAGCAACATCGCTCCGCTATACCTGTAGCTCTGACTCAGAGCTCGTCGCGTCCCCGTCGTTGGCATCCAGCAGATGACTGGATTCGAGCAATCGGAGGCTTGTCCACTCGCCATCGAAATCGGAACTCAACGAACGCTCTGTTTTCTTTTGGTAGTCGCTTTGTCGTTACGTGCGCATGCAGCCAAGAGGAAAGCCCCGCGGCGTGCTGCCCACGAGCTTGGTGGCGGCTGCGAGGCGATCCAGCCTGGATCCAGGCAGCTGGAGTTGAGGCGGCGCACGCAGGACGGGCAGGCGACTGACACAAGATCGCATCGCGTGTTGGATCACTGCAAGCGACGAAGAGGTGGGCAGCTCTACATGTACAGTAGTTAGCCGTAATACATACACGGTGCTATCGAGATCATGCTGCAAGCTGACCTGGTCCCCATGAAGTTCACGATGAACGGGTTCAGGCTCACGACAGGGAGGAAAAGAAACACGGCGAGGAACGGTGAAGGTGGCAGCAGTGCTGCCGCAGTACCGCCACGCTGACGGCATCAGCAAGTTGCTGACAGCAACGCATGGTAATGTCTCGGGTATCCAGGCTCTGCTCTGGTCAAGCGTGTGCACCGATCGCGGCGAGAGCTCTCGCGAGCCTACACAACGCCTTCCCAGCTGGCGGCAACCTGTGGCTGCGGCACACAGCACCGCTTCGTTGTGTACGCGACTGAGCAACGGCGTCGATTAGCGACCTGGTCGGATCGGCGCAGCTCCACCACCGGAGCGGCCCGCTGGAATCGTTGCTCCGAGCTCCTGGTCTGGCTGCCGAGACTATCTGCTTCTTCAAAAGTTGCTGGCCAACAATGGCCACTAGAAAGTCGGACACTGAACCAGCTCTCTGAAGTTGTACCTCTAGAAGGATCTTTGAACTGAAGACAAGCGCTCGAAACGGTCGGGAGCTTGTCGCATGAGTCCTCGAGAGTCTTGCCTGTCAAGTTGACAAGCATTCAGTAAAGTATCTGGTCTAGATATAGATACACGTGGCGTGTTGATGGATATGCATGCCTCGAGGCTCGATAAAGCCGCTCGAGTCGAGCGGCTCCATTGAAGCCTCATTGCTACTGGCAGCGCTTGCCCGTGGTGCATCGGCCCGGAGCTCTTGGTGGGTAGCCATGTGCTGTTCGTGTTCTACCAAGACACTGGAACCGAAGACGACGGCACAACAACCGCAGCGTAGAGCTGTAGCCGATGGATTTTCGCTGAGCTGCTGTCCAAGTCGCGAGCGGAGCTCGTGTGGCGAGGAGCACCATGCAGACTGCATTGCAGCAACATTGAACATGGAAATTCCATTGGAATAGCAGATAGATAGGCCTACGCAGAAATCCTGCAGCAGGATCGTACGCCACGATCAGTTCAATTGCAGCGACCAGCAGCACCATGGCTACAGCCAGTAGCACCAGCAGAGCGTTGCTGTCGGTTGAAGACATCGAATGCCGGCGGTGGCCAGGCATCGAAATCACGGCGAGCCGTTGCCGTCCCGTCGTCCGTTCTGGAATCCATTCGGCCTGCAACTGCTGATCTCCATCGATTGGCACGCGAAACTTAGCGGAGCCCGCCGAACTTCAATTTCTCGTCATCGCGCCAACAGCTTCACTGTACAGTACTCTACGCCGAGTTCATGGCGACGCACTTTCTGCGCCGAGCTCGGTTCGCTCGCCTGCTCTGCTCGCGAGCTGCACACCACCATCTCGACTTCATTTCACAAGTTGCTTTAAACCGCATCAGCCACCGCAACTTTCTCCTACGGACTACTGCTCCAGTCTACCAGCCTCGACTAACTCAATTACAACAGCAAGCACCATGACCAGCACCAGCGCCGACTTCGAACTGTCCGAGCTGCAGAAGTACTATCACCTGCCGCTCCGGGAAGCTGCGCGCCGTCTCGGCAGCTGTGAAGCCGTAGTCAAGCGAGTATGCCGCAGGAAGCAGATCCAGCGGTGGCCGTACCGGCAGGTGTCGTCCAAGCTCATCAAGATCCAGCACCTGTGCAAGTACATGGCCCACGTATCGGATGCCGAGCAGAAGGCTCGCATCCAGCAGAAGATCAAACAGCTCACGCAGGAGTATCTGGAGCTCGTCGGCGGTCAGGTGCCGTCCGAGCTGCAGCTCACACCGGCCGACGTGCCGACACTGCCGCCGCCGAGCTACAAGGCCAACGCTCCGATCGACCCGGCCGTGCTGGCCGCTGCATCCGACGACGACGCGGGTCAAGAGGAGGACGAAGACATGGACGACGTGGCCGAGCCGTCTGGCGAACGACGGCTGTCGGCCTACTCGCTGCGCTTCATCCTGTCCGACTGCACCGTGCTCGAGACCGACACAGGTCTCCAGTACAGCACCACCACATAGAGTTCGCCGGCCCGGCGACACCGTGTAAAATTTTGCCTGCATGTCCAACAACAACTACGAAGTCTGCATAATTAGATAGAGCCTCCATACGACCACCCAGCAAGTCCTGGAGAAATGCCTGCAAGTTAGAATTTTCCCTAATCAAAATATTGAGCTTCATTTTCGAGTATTCACCTCGGCGTTCGTGCCCACCACCATCGCCTCTTAGATCTGGTCGAGCGGGTCGATGCCCAGCAGCGAGAAGCACGTCTTCATGACCTTGAGGGTGGCATCGCATAGCAACAGACGGCTGTTCTGCTCCTCGCTGCCCAGTACACGACACGCAGTGACGAACGTCTGCACCTTCTCCGAGATCGTGTACAGGTAGCTGCACAGTCGGTTGGAGCTCAGATCCTTGTTAATGAACACGATCACGTCTTGCAGCTGCAACAACTCGATGGCCAGAGCCTGTTCCGTCGGGTGTTCGGGCTTGAGCACGTTGCCCTCCTTCTGCAGCTGTGCCACGAGAGCAGACATGTCTACGCCCGACTTGCGGATGATCGACGACAGACGGGCGTACGCAAACATGAGATACACAGCCGTGTCACCATTGGTGGACAGCATGCGGTCGAAGCTGAAGATGTAGTTGGACGTCGGGCTCTGACGCAGATCGAAGTACTTGACGGCGCCGTAGCCGAGTTTCTCGGCCGCCGCGTCCACTTGGTCCATAGGCAGTGACGTCTGTCCGGCCTCGATACGTTCCACCAGCTGCGCCTTCATGCGCACCTTGGCCTCGTCCAACAGCTCCACCAGACGCACAGTTTTGCCCGAGCGCGTCTTGAAGCGCTTACCGGACTCGTCGTTCACCGTGCCGAAGCCCACGTGGTCCGCGCGCTGCTTGGTCGGGTCGTAAATGCCCGACATACGACCCACCTCGAACAGAAGACTGAAGTGATCCTTCTGCGTGTAGTCCGTGTAGTAAATAATGCGGTCGGCCTTCATCTCGTGCAGGCGATACCACAGCGCAGCAATATCCGTCGTGTCGTACAGGTACGAGCCGTCGCTCTTCACCAGCATAAACGGTTGCTTGAACGCCTTGGTGAACACCACTTCAGCGCCGTTGCTCATTTCCACGATGCCCTTGGCACGCAGCTTGGCCAGCACGTCCGGGATGATCGGGTTGTAGAACGACTCGCCCATTTCATTAAGCGACACGCCCAGACGGTCGTACACCTTCTGGAACTCGCGGCGACTGATCTCGCACAGCGTCTCCCATACCTTACGAGAGTTTTCGTCGCCGGACTGCAGCAGCACCACTTGTGCCTTGGAGCGTTCATGGAAGTCCGCGTCGGCGTCGAAGCGCTCTTTTGCGGCCTTGTACAGCTTGGTCAGGTCCGTCACGTTGGGCATCTCCGTCTCCCAAGTCGGGTACGTCTCTGTAAGATGGCAGATTAACATACCGAACTGGGTGCCCCAGTCTCCGACGTGGTTAATACGCTTGACGTCGTAGCCCTGGAACTCGAGGATACGGGACATGGTGTCACCAATGATCGTGGAGCGCAGGTGGCCCACGTGCATGTCCTTGGCAATGTTAGGCGAGGAGAAGTCGACGACGATCGTCTGTTTCTTTTGTGGGGCCGGCTGCACGCCGTTGGCCAGCACGTTCTGGAGCCGGGCGGCCACGAACTCCTTGGTCAGGAAGGCGTTGATGAAGCCTGCGCCGGCGACGGTCAGGCGGTCTAGCACACGCGTCTCGGGCATCGCCGCGATGATCGTGTTGGCCACGTCACGAGGAGAGCGGGCCGCGTTGGGCGTGCCCTTAAGAGCTGTGAAGATAGACATGGCCGAGTTGCACTGGTAGTCGCCGAACTTGGCGTTCTTGACGTTGGTACGCGTAACCTCAACAGGCGGGACATCCAGGCCAGGGTACGCAGCCTTGATGGCAGCGTCGAAAAGAGACTCGACCACTTCCAGGATGTTGTGGTACGTCAGGCCTTGTTCGAGCTTCTCGTCCAGCTTGAACGTGGAGCGCTTGACGTCCTGTACGGCAGCGGCCGGTGCATCGGAGGCTGCGCCGGGGGCACCCTTGCCCTTCTTAGCAGCCTTGCCGGCGTTCTTCATGCTGGCCACACCCTTAATCACGTCCTCATGGGCAAAGAGCTGGGCAACGTATTTGCGGAAAACCTGGAGCACGGCAGCCTCGTCCTTCTCCTCCTTGACAACCTTGAAGGCAGCACGCAGCGTGACGCCAGCCACAACGTCAGCCAACGAAAGTTCCGAGCCAAAAAGAAACTGCAGGTCGCCGCTGTTCTTGGGCCGCGCCTCCTCCTTGGCCTCGAGCATAGCGGCCAGTTGGCCAGCGAGCTCACCGTTTTTGTTGCTAGCGGCCTTGGCCACACGCAGCCACGGGGACAATGTGTTGGCCTCCCACTCAATCCACTCGTCTACGGCCAGATCGTCGCTCTGCAGCTGGCCAGCGTTGGCGGCCACGAAGCGGCACACGGCGTTGGCCGAGAAGAGCAACTCAGTGTCGGGCTTGACGGCCAATTGCGGGCCACAGCTCGAGTATTTCTTGTCCGCGGCGCCAATAGTGAATTCAGTGCCGGTGAGAGACAGCGCAAGGAAGCACTTGAGCTCCTCGTCTCCCGGCTTCTTGCCGATCAGGAGCTGCATCGTAGGAAATGTAGGGAATCTAGCTTCTATCAGTGCTATTGGCCTAATGACGTTCGTGATGGATGGATGAGGGTTGAAAAAGATGTACCTCTGAATGGGTACATTTGCGTGCACCACAAGAAAGATAGTTGTCACAAAAAAAGCCAACCTGCTCTTCTTCTTTGAAGAACGAGCGGTTTGATGTGTGCCACGCTATAAATAGTCCGGATAATCGATTCCTCCGGATAGTGTGTGAGTGGTTCCCTCACTTTACTATCGTGGAATCCGATGGCAGGACGCTCCTCTTCAAGCGGGGAGGGCGCGCGCCGCAGTGCGGCGGTGCAGCGTCTGATCGACAGCGCGGACCAGTCGCTGAGTCTCCTGGCGTCTTTAGGTGATCCAGCCGCGCCTGGACCTCCGCGCAGTGCCGGATTCGGTGTCGACAGCGCGATCCCGATGAGTACCGACACTTTCCACTTTTCATCAGCCTCAGGCTCCTTCGCCGACACGGAAGGTGATGAAGCCGAAACTAAAGTCTCAGAGGACGAGGATACTCGTCTATTAGAGCCTGTAGTCAGTACATCAGTGCGTCACGGCCTTTTACACGTCAAGGGCGTTTTCCCAGACCAGTCGACGGAGTTTGTGGACGTAGATCCTCGACTTACGACCATTGGAGACCTCAAACATGCTCTATGTGTACGTCGAGACTCTGCACGAGGCTTGGGCTTCTCAGCAAGAGACGCTCGCGTCATGTTCGGCGGCCAAATAGTGGAAGACGCGTGGCTTGTAGTGGACTGTGGCATGGGCTTCGAAGGAGCCATCCACATCGTCAAGGCAGCTGCAGTGGGCAACAGCTTTCTAGCCAATGGTAGCGGTCTATTCAGTGGCAAGAAGACGCCGCGTACGGACCCTAAGCTGTCCATTTCGTCTATCTCTTCAGTGTATACGCAGCCTCAAGGTCCGTCTCTGGCGATGGATCAATTGGCTACATCCAACGATCAAGTTATGACCCAATTGGCTACATTTAATAAGTCGTTATCGCTCAGCACAGTCCCGTCAGCTAGAGGAGATTTGTTCTCGCGTCATGTGCGTCCAGAAGAAGCTTCTTTTGCCGAGATGGCGGCCGATTTTTACGCCAACTTGAAGGACGTGGAAGACTCGGATTTATACTGCGAGAAACTACTACGTGGGTACATTGGAGTACTGCAAAACAGACTGGAGAGGCTCGAAGCTTCTCTTGCAGGAAGCAGCAAAGCACGCGCGTCGACGGTGGCCCAACAACGACTGCAGAACGACATTACAGAGCTCCGAGACGAACGCAATACGTGGAGACTGCTGTTCGAGTTGCGGCAAGTGTGTCATATGAACAAAGACATGGCAGATGGAGAAGACGCGCTGATGATGCTTGGTGCAGAGACGGAGGAGCTGCGCTTCGAGATGCTGGAGGATGACGCTGTGCGGCTACTGGAGACACGCAACGAGACGTTCAAGATCCAGAAGGCAGTGAAGACGTGGCTGGAGAGTATGGCGCTGGAGAGCACGATAAAGCTCAGTGACAAGCGTGACGCCAGTGGCTCTCGTACACTGAGGATGATGAAGAAGCAGGTGTTCCCAGCTCAAGTGCAGATGGATCCTGATGCTGTGGTGCGTGACGGAGACGCTCACATTTTACCTGATGACTTGGAGGATGAAGCGGAGCTCATGAAGGCGCTGTGGCTGTACGTACGTGCTGGACGGATGGACGACGCCATTGATCTGTGTATCCGCTTGGGTCAGTCGTGGAGAGCAGCGAGTCTTTCGGGAGGCACTCCCGTTGGCGCCAGTGAGACCAATGACCGCCAAGATTTGTCGCTGGAGCGATGGGGGAACCCGTTCCGTGCTCTTTGGAAGACGATGTGTTGGCGCTTGTCGGAGCAGAATGCTGGCGGGAAACTCTCCAAGAGCAACACGTTGCTTGCGAAGCAGTATGAGGAGCTTATTTATGCGGCGTTGAGTGGCAATATCCAGGTGATTACCAAGAGTCCGCTCTGTGAGAGCTGGGAGGACCATTGCTGGGCGTATCTACAGGGCATTACGGAGCAGCAAATGGACGAAATCCTGTATAAACTGCTGAAGGTGAAGGCGCAGTCTTCGCAGTTAGTTGTTGGCAATAATGTCCACTACTTACGTCACTTCTCGAGCTTGCTGGACAAGACCAAGAATCTTAAACGCTACCAGGTGGATCTGGACTCGCTGTTTGATGAGCTACGCGGAAGTCCGAGCGAGTTGGTGAGAATGCAAGCAAACCAGCCACACCGTCAGATCCAGGCCAAGTTGGTGACTGCCAAGTTCCAGTTCATCGTGTCGAGTATCTTGGATACCGTGCTATTCAACCCGGAGGACGACGCGTACAACTGGGACTTGCAGCTCCAGTCGACGGTCCAAGCCGACGAGACTTCTTCTCTGTTCCTGCGCTTCGCTGCGCACTTCATCATGTTCGCTGACTTCACTGATGAGCACTTCGACGCGCAGGCAGGCCACATGATCTTAAAGCAGTACATCCGACATCTGGTGAAGCACCGCCAACTGCAGTTCGTGCCAATCTACGCCTCTCGTCTTCCTACACACGGAGCTATCGAGATCTACGTGCAGATGCTGTCGACAGTCGAGGACAGTTTAGAACGCGAGCTGTGCGTCAAGAGAATCCTGGAATACGCCGGCATGGAAGTGCTGTCAACAGTGCTGCAGTCTGTGGTCGAACGTCTGTGCGAAGACTACCAGTTGACAGCGCAGGAACAGCAGAGCAAGGGCCAACTCGTGTTTCTGGACACGCCCACGACGGAGATCGACAGGAGGAGGATTCGAACGATCGAGTTCTTGTGTTTCTACGTCCAACACCGCGCCGAGGCTTTGGTTCGTGCCAATCGACTGACGCGACAATTCCTTCTTGAGGGCAAGTTTGCTGCTGTCAAGGAGCTCGTGGAAGAGAGCTTGCCGGAGGACTCGATCGGCGTGCTGGACTTGAACCGCGACTCGCAGGTGTTGCGTGAGGACGACGAGATCGAACGAGCTATGCGCGAGTTTCTGTGCTGGCGCGCGTACATTCAGGCTTGTGCGCAGTACGATTTGTGGAGGAACTGCATCAACAGTCCTGGCGCAGAGACGTTGTCTCTGTATAGCGAGGAGAAGGAATACCTGGCAGACTTGATGTTCCATGTGTCCAGGTCGGCTGCAGCGACGTTGGAAGTGCTGCACTTTGAGAACGGATGGCTGTTAGGTTGCGCTAACGACGCTGCAGAGGACGCTGCAATCCGACAGCGCTGCTTGCCGGCGTTGGTGTTCAACCTGCACTTTCTCCAGCTCGAGTCCGCCAAGACCATCATGCGCTTGAGTCATTACCCAGAAGACGCCAAGACGGAGCTGGCACGACCGCTACTGGAGAAATCTATCGAGGTCGCTGACGTGGTGGCCGACGAACACTACGCTGTGTACAATGCGCTGGACCAGGATCAGTGTCGGGACCTGCTACATGGCTTCCGTGAGAGTGCTGTGTCGCTGGCGTTCGTTGAAAGTATGCAGACTTGTCCACCGTCAGATCAAGATTAACCTGTGACAATTAGAGATTAAAAGGCAACGGCGGACGTGGCCAGCGCAATAGCAAGACGATCTCATGGCTCTGTTTGTGTGTTGGGTCACTTACTGGGAGCGGCAGTCTTGGTATACGCCCCACCAGAGTTGATAGCACCGACCAGGTACTCGTCATACAGAATGCGTTTGCTGTCTGTATAGTCTTCCAGCATCTTGTGCGGTACTCGCCATACCTGTGGGTATGGCGATCCATGTTGCCTCCATGTCCACGCGTGCTTGTCGAGGTTGTCGCCGTTGTTTTTCTTGACTAACACGACAGATTCAATGCCGAATTCAGGAGTAGCAGCTTCTAAGCGAACGTCATACGCGCCGTCGTCGACTAGAACACGAGCGTCCGGGGAGAAGTGCTTCGAGTTGTTGATACTAGCGCCGATTACTCCTGTGACATCAGTGAGGATGCTGTCAGTGTACGTTCCTTGGACTTGGATGATACTTGTGTCGGTTAGTGGCATGAAGAAGCGTAGATTGGATTCTCTGTAGGCGCCAAACCACGACGAACAGCGCAGAGTTGTGTGGAAGCAGATGCCATCGACGACTGTGTAGATATCGTTGACACTGGCAGGACGGAAACTCACGTCGATCTGCACAAGTTTTTCTCAAGGTCTCAGCGGAACACAATGCACTTGATACGAACTGCCGTTGGAGAGGAGAGTTGAGTGGAGCTGGGAGACCACGTCATCAAACATCCGTACGCTGTCAAAAGACTGCACAGACGTCACAGAGCCGCCCTGAACAGCAACTAAAATTCCAAGCGGTGACTCTGGGAGTTCGGTAGTCTGGTTCGAGACGGGGACAGTCCTCATGACCCAGAACTGTCGTGGCCTTGATTGTTCCTGTTCAGGCTCTGTCTGGAGATATCTGGCTGCGACATCAGCACAGTAAAGAGCTCCTAGAGAGCCCACGTATTGCTTGCCATGGACTCCATGCAACCCGCAGATGTGATGTCCTACTGGGCTCTCCATTACTGCATAGTTGGGTCCTCTGCCTCCCCCAAACCAAGCGCTAACACGTCGCGTTGTGGTGAATCGGATACAGTCAACCCAGTGGCCACTATACACCTCCGACTTGATCAACTTCTCGCCAGGACAAAGCTGGAAGACGTGCTCATTCGAGAGGTAGAACTTTGGATCTCTGGAGTTGGACTCCGCTTCCTCCGGAGATAACACCTTGACACGTTCAACAAATCTCCCACATTGAACAACCACAGCTCCGATCTCCGGGAGAGTGATTGAAAACGGCGTCTTGGTGCCACCTTCCAATGCTTTTCCAGCTGGAGGACACAACAGAACCGAGCTGGTACATCCGTTAGGCTCCAGCGACCGAGGATGCGAAGGTACAGAGCAAGTGGGCTGACATCGAACACCAAGTGTACCAACATGAGAGTCGCCTCTGGAGCCAATAAACGAGCTCACGTGCCACCCTCCAGCAGGTTGTAGAGCGTGCAGACTACCGCCCGTGCCGCCATACCAACGTGACGAACGCAAGTTCGTGTGTAGCTGTAGTCCATCGATCCAAGCCATAGCACGGATGTCCACACGAGAGATGTACTCTCCGTCAGCAAGCATGAACCAGTGTTTAGTGCCAGCAGCACGTAGTGGCTCAGTACGCTCAGCTTCGGCCATTTCAGCACGAGTCAACGTCTCAATGTGGTCAATGTACTTGCCAGCGTCCAGCATCACAGCGCCGAGTTGATCGTCGACAGAAGACGATAACTTCTTCTCAGGAAGGTCAGTTTGCGTGCCATTATAAGTGCCGTATCCTACAGGTCCAAGTATCGAGCTCCCCCAGTCCACAGTAGGTCCTACGAGGGACGGCTTGGCGTATCCTGAGATCCATGGACAGTGTCGAAGCAGTTGAGCGGATGCAGAGTTCCAGTGTGCTCCTCCTCGACTGGTAACTTCACAAACAACAGTGTGATTTAGATCCAGCCATCCTTGAGCTGTAGATCGCTGGAAACTCTGCTGCGACGAGCGTGGATCTGCCGCGTAGACACACAAAAGTCGGTTCATATCATCAAAGCCCCGAGCCATGATGCCGCTCGTGGAATGTCCAAGCCCCAAGGTATGGCCAACCTCATGCAACATGGCACCGATGCCAGTCGAGAAATTGGCCCAGAAGGTGCCTCTGTAGCAGCTATCGTCCAGGAGATACCGCGTATCAACTCGCGTATTGTTTAAACAACATAACGACAATTCACCAAGATGTGAGGGCCACGTGTGTAGTCCACAGGATCCGAAGACTCCAACTTTCCCACCTCCAAGTGCTGTATGGCCCTCGGCTTTCCTCGTCTCTCTATTATATCTCGAACAACCGAGCACTACTGCATGTTTAAAATGCAACTCGGGATTACTGTCCAATCCCGAGGCTTCGATGTCCTGTTGCACCAACTTAGTGAGCTCCTGACCGTCCACCGAACGTGCGTGAGTATTGGTGAATCTGCAACGCAACAGCGTCACGTCTGGCAACCCGTCGGGTGCGAATTGCATAGTGAACGTGAGTCGAGGCAAACCTGCTGCGTGCATAAGTTCAGCTGTTGCCATTTGCAATAACAAGGCCGTGAATCGGATTTTTGCAATGGCCACAGCGTCGGAATTGTCGACACCAAGAGGAGCGTCGAATCCGTCGCGATTTTCGGCGTCGGAGCAGATTTGGTAGTGGAATTTGACCACAAATCGAGTAATGTGGGGTCGGTACTCGATGCAGAAGATGCGGTGGGCAATGTCATTGAGTTGCAGCGTGATGGCGTATTTGCCAGGGAATGGGAGCAACACAAACGCCTTGAAGTGGCCAGTGCGCGAAATTGGCCAGAGAGAAGAGCGCAGGTCGTCAAGACGAGCGTCCAGGAAGAGATTCTCGGCGGGGTGTGCGTCGGTGATGCGACCTTCGAGCAGAACTAACGGGTACGAGAGCACCTCGTCCTCATGGAGGTTGTCCACGATGATGTTCGACCACATCGAGGAAGTTTGATTTGCTCTTGAGGGAAAAACTAGAGGGGAGCTCGAGATACCCAAATTTAGAAATAGTGCTATTTGATGTACCCAAATGCATTTTGTGTTTTAAACATAGCTTTTAAAACTGCATGAATTCCATTCATTTATTTAATGAGCTTGGAAGGTAGACTATTCTATAAAATGCAATACGCTTCGACTCGATGCTGCGGCATTGCTGTATACCAGACCTGTTCTCCGCATAAGTGCCCCTCCTCGTCCACGGACCACTTCGTAGGTATAGATAGCACTACAGTAGTCTATTATTCTTTCTTGTGGTATTTTGTGTTATCTTAGCAGTCTATGAGGGTATGCAGCATTTGTTACGTAGTCGATGAGCACTTTGCGTCATTAAAGAGGTCAGACCATTCTTCTATAGAGGTTAGTGGATGAACGGAATAATACTACTTAAGTTTCTACCAGTGCTGCTGTGGCTGATGAAGGAATAACCCTGACAAACACCATTAGCCCTTAGACAAACACCATTTACAAAAGAAAATCAAGGAAAGCTCCAGATTTCCTACAGAGCTATAGGTATACAAGAGCGAAGCGCTTTTTAAATGCTTGCTACGGTGCAGGATATCCTAAGGCGCTCCGCCGAAAAATCTAGGAAGCGCACTATTAGAGACCCATGGCTACTTGTAAGTCAGCGAAACTCAACACTACACGATTAAGTTTTCATGTGTCAGCGTACGATTTGTTGGTCTAGCTCGCATTCAAAAACGCCTACACTTGCTCTAGAATGGGCAGTTGTCGCCTCATTTAGGGTGATCGATGTATCACTCTTATTAAGCCACCGCCTAGCAAAGCTGAGGCGTAATATGGCTTCGTGATATATAACAATACATCTCCGCTGTAACTACCTGAGCGAGGCATACCGTATTCTCTTGGTCCAGCTCACGACATTGCAATTCTATGAGGGTCTACAGGCTGTAGTACATCGAGACCTTTGGATCATTTTTGAGTACATCAAAAAGCACTATTTCTAAATTTGGGTACCTCGAGCTCCCTAAGCTCGAGCTCCATGGAATTTGCAGACCAAATCTGATTGGCGTCCTTGATTAAGTACTGTAAAACGAGTTGATAATTAGTTGAAATATTCTTGGTCTTTTCAAAAAAAAAATAACATTTGCTATTTTGGGTAATATTAATAATCGCAACTGCATGGCAATACATCATTTGTGAAATAAAATGCATCTTGCCTATCCGGATACAGAATAAGTTCTATTACGTGGTACTGGGTATACTAATTGGAACACTACCGAAGGCTGCGAGTTCTAGGATGCGGTTTGTCGGGCGCTGGTGGTGCTTTAGTCGCAGGTGCACTTTACTTGTAGTACTTCATACAAATATGCATGTAAGATGTGGAAAACACTGATAGCATATTCTTCTCGAACAGAATTATGTCGAGCGTGAAGAACGTCGACGACGAGAAGAGACGGTCAAGTTATCGGATTGTGCAATTTTCAGCGTGGTAAACGTAGTAACATTTACGTTCGTTAGTATGAAGTCGAACTTAGCTCGAAATTGTGCGTCCAGCCAAATCTGCTTCGAGCTTGGACACCCGAAGCAAAAGATGCTCTTTCTCCTTTTTGGCCTGGCGTGCCAGTAGTTTGGCAGCGTTGAGTTGACGATCTGCCTTTTTGACGGCCATAGTTTTCTCTTCAACGAGTTTTTCCAACCCTGCAACTTTTTCTGCTGTTGCTCGGGCACTAATTTCACGCTCTTCTTGCGACAAAGCTTCAAGCTGTTGCACTTTTGCATCCAGTTCCTGGAAACAACGCATACTCAGTCAGATCAAATAAAACCACTCAGGTTGAAAACTCCACCTTAACTCTGCTGGATAATACAATTTTCTGGTCCTGTTCCTCTTGTACTGCCACTTTCAACTCGAGAATTTCTTGTTGCAATGCATCTGGAGGTGCCAAAAAGAAGGTCAAAATGTAAAATTTATGTAAAATTTCACTTTTGGAGTGAGCGTAACGCACCATTCTTCTTCTGAAGACTCGTCAGCTCTGTTGCACCTCGTTCAACTTCTTCCTCCGCGATCTTCTTCTCCTTCTCCAGTACTCGAAGGCGCTGATGTACCGTGTCGCGATCTGTGGCCCATTTCTTCTGCTGTCGTTCCAATTCATCCTGGAGTTCTAGTTCTCGAGATCGTAGCGTTTGAATGAGCTCAAGTTGCTGTAAGCGCTCTTCATCTTTTGCACCGGCGTCCTCTATCGTGATATCTCGTAGAAATTGTGTCTCTTCTTGTACTTGCAAGTATTTTTCAGCCAGTTCCTCTTTCTCTTGGACCAACTCAACATTGTCTGCTTGTTGACGCTCTAATTGCTCTCTTAGTAACGCAATTTTGTGCTTCTTTCGCACGATCTGGTCCTCAACACTAGCACACCCGTTAGACATCCCACATATTGGCAAATACATGCAGCTATTACGTACACCCTCAATTTATCTAGCTCAGCATAAACCTCAGTCATCTCTTCCGCTTGAGCGTGGATAGTCACCGATTTCGAGGCTACTTGAGCTCGAAGCTGCTCTAGCTCGTCATAAATTGCTTCATCTGAATTATAAAAAGTCAGAATAACCCAAACTTTAAATTAAAAAAAAATATTCTCACCGGCTGCGACGTTATAGTTATTAACATCCTTCTCCTCCGTTTTCTCATCTTCATCTTCGTGGTCGCTATCATGAGGTTTTTCCTCTTTCGGCGCTGCATTGCGTTGACTTTCTTGCTTGAGTTTCTCCACTGTCCGATGGAAATTTTGTCCAAGTGCTTGAAGCTCGTTCTCAAGTTCTTCTCGTGTTTTCGGACGGAATCTCATTGGACCACCAGCAGTTTTCTTGAGCACGAAGTCGTTCACAAGTGCTCGTGAGTCCTGGAACTCGGCGGCTTTTTCCTGCAATGTCTGCTTCAGGACGTCAATTAAAAGATCTTGCTCACGTTGCTGGGTACGTAGATCCTGGATCAATGCGGACCGACGATGCTCTTTCTCTTGAGCTTTCAGATTTTGAGTTTGCTCTTGGAGTTGGTTGATCGAACGCATCAAGGCTCTTACTTTCTGTTCGTGTACTGCTTTAAGTGCGCCAACCTTAGCTGTGGACAAAACGAATTAAATTATACTTTAAGTATTAGTTCCAAGTAATATTTTTTAAAGAAGAAACCCAACCTTCTACTGCTGGATTGGCTTCCGTAGCATCCTGGGCGATACCGTGTGACACAACCAAGCGTCGTAGTTCTTCTTCACGTTTTTCCTGACGGGCGATTGTAGCTTGAGCAGCTCGTAAAGCTTCCTGTTGCCAAAAACAAGAGCCACATTTTCTGTAAATTTCACGTCGATTGCAAATATAACAATAACTTTGAGAACATTTAATAAACGTACTTCTGTCGCCTTCAGACGGTCTGCCACGCTGATTGAATTCACTGTCAGTTAGCAATTATAAAATCTTTAATGGAGAACAGAAGCAGCCATAGCTTACGCATTTGACGGTGTTCTCTTCGCCTCCGCTCTGCCTGCACGCCGAACGGTGCTTGTGGTACTCATTGCCGTAAGTTATTTTTCAAGACGTGAAGGGTCAGACACAGTAAATTGAGCAACAGGTAAGAGGGTTAACCGTTTAACTGATAACTACATGTAGTCATTTGTTGATAGCTCTATCTTCGTAGTCATAAGAAGCGACTTACACCAGCACGGGGTAGATCTGGGCGTCATACACGGGTTTGTGCTTGCACGGCAGCTTGGTCGCCAGCGACGTGTAGTCGAACAGCCAGCAGTTGTGCGGTACGTCGGGGACCTTGTGGATGTGCAGGGCACCAGCAGTGTCCAAAGTCTTGAGACCGTACAGGTCATTCGTGTACTCCACCGTCTGCGTCATGTCGACGATCTTGAGGGAGCTGAACTTCGAATTTACTTCGGCCACAGATCCCACAGTCGAGTACTTGCCAAGGACGCAGCTCTGCCACGGGGCCTGGATGTCGTCTTGGGGCGAGGCGAAGAAGTGAGCGGCCTTGAGCTTCAAGAAGTTGGCCTTGCGACGAGCCTGGTTGGCCTTGCACTTGGCGTCGGCACCACAGTTCTCCAGGTTGTTCACCTTAGGGAGGAACGGGTCAATGTTCTTCCAGGTTGTAAGAGCACTGCTCTTGACTCTGCTCTTAGAGCAGAGTCAACAAGCGGTGGCGTAATGATGTTGGCGATCGAGCTCTTAGCCTGCAGCGCCTAATTGGTAGTCACAGTCTGAATGAGGTCGCTCTGGAACTTGCCCTTCCACGACGTGGAATCCGCAGCGTACTTGGCGAAGTCGAAGTCGGCCTTATCAATGGCGAATGGGCCCAGAGCCTGCAGAAGCACCTGGAGCGGCACGGCGTCCGACGCCTGAGGGCCGAAGAAGTTACCGTTGCCGTCACCAGCCATACTAATGTATGAGTGCACGTTGTGGTCGTCCATTTCCTCGACTACACCACGAGAGACTGAACCACCTTGCGAGTAAGCCAAGAAATGGTAGCCATTGGCGTAAGTAGCAGGGCTCTTCGCAATGATGCCGCGGATCTGCTTGATGGCCATCTGCACTTGGTCCGAGAGGGACGTGCGGACGGAACAAGCGTTCTGGCAGAAGTCAAGCGCCACGTACGTGCGGCCCTCAGCGGTTAGACTGGCCTGGATCTCAGCGCCGTTAGTCGCGTTGCCCGTAGCGCCGTGGAAGAAAAACACCGGCAGTTTGGTAGCAGCAGCCTCGTTGGCAGCGGCAGAACCGACGAGCGCGGTCGTGGCGGCGACGAATAGAGCGTGGAACGAAACCATGGCTTGAGTCGGGGTGAATGAACTCGGCCGAGCAAAAGGTGAAATGACAAGCGGAGGCAGTGCTTCAGACACGGGCTGAAATAGGGAGCGTGACATGCACAAAGTGAATCCGTTTGCTCCACATCTTCAGCGCTTACGGCAACAGCTGCAACCTCGGGTCCCGAGTCGGGAGCGTTTTGCCCAGCGCAGCAATCGAACGACCTGCCAATCTCAGGAGCGTTAAAATATCGGAACATGTAGCTTAAGCTAAAGATAAGTGCAACAGCTGGATTTTGTACTAAATAGTACTTAAAGTACGTCTCTAAGGGTGTCTAGGGACGCTCGACCCCGATTTAGGGGTAGAATGAGCGGCCAAACGATACGATCTGTCCGCTATCGGAACACTTAACCTCAGATGAGGTTTTACACTCTTGGTTCCAGCTCGTGGGCGAGGACGGCAAGGATCTGACGTCGGCTGACGCTGTTGTCGTGGATACCGAAGATGTTGTTGCTTTGCGGCATGCGTGTCCGAACGCTCTCGCGAACGTTGATGCGGCTGATCTCACAGTGCTCGAGAACCGTGCGAAGTACGATGCGAAAGAGGCGTTGGAAGAGGATTCGCCGATTGGATCGTTTGGAGGCTCAAAGAAGGATGCGCTTATCGTAATTGTTCCTGATGCCGACGATAGGGATGAAGGTAGGTTATCATGTCTTATTGCATGCGTGCCATTGCTCACCGATAACTTTTAGTTGGTGAAGGCAGTCACTTCATCAGACTACTAGCCATTTTATCTCTCATTGTTATGCCGTCATCAATATGATCCAGAAGACGAAAAATGATGTCTAAGTACTGGCGCTCACTATTTAGTTCAGCATACCAAATCCTAAAGATGCTACTGTACTTCGAAGTACTTGATTTGCATAATATATATTGTATGTCCCTGCCCAGCTCTAAAAAACCTTCGCGGATACAGAGGATCGTAAGAGCATCTCCACCGCACCGCGTATGATCACGGTACATGTAATTGTCAGTGAGCGCATGCTTTTCGCTTTTTTTTTTGCTGTTCGGAGATTGACTATCTCAAAACCAGACAAACCAATTTGGATTTTGATGTCAATTTTAGTTCCGTGCACTATTTTGCAGAAAAAAAACGAAATGTTTTCGTTTTCAGTCAGTCCTCATTTTGTGTTTTAAAATACCGGTACACAAAATGAGTATTAGCTTAAATAAAAAAGATCTTTTAATTGGCAAATAATGTTTTGCAAAAGTGTTGCAGAAATGCGTTTGTGGGGGTGAAAACCGTTGTGTTTCCGATTGGGGTACAGTATTTCTCTTCAAAAATAAGAAAACGTTTTTGCACGGTTAATTTGCCCACACTATCAACAATTTGGACTCATCACCAAAAGTTTATCATCGATGACCTCATCCTCAATCCACCAAGTCACCTCTGCCATTGTACATTTCGATCAATTTGGTTGTTGCTCTTTTACCTTATCGAGTTTTATTAACTGGCTATCATAGTGCAGTCCTACACAAGCAGGGGATATATCTCATTATTGTACACGGGGGCGTGCTTGCAGGCCACATCCGTGGGGGAGGTGTAGTCGAACAACCAGCAGTTGTGTGGTACATCAGCCACTTCATGAATGTGGAGGGCACCAGCAGTGTCCAAGGTCTTCAGACCGTACAGGTCGTCCGTGTACTCGACGGTATCCTTCATACCGACGATGGTATAGTCGGCGAACTTGGTCTCAACCTCATCAAGCGTTGCGACCGTCGTGTACTTGCCCAGCAAACAGCTCTGCCACGGCGCCTGGACGTCGTCCTGGGGAGATGCAAAGAAGTGAGCAGCTTTGAGCTTGACAAAGTTCTCTTTGCGGCGCTTCTGGTCAGCCACGCAGGTATTAATAGCGTCAGTACCGCAATCCTGTAGGTTGTTCACCTTGGGGAGGAACGGGTCAATGCTCAGCCAGTTGGCCAACGCAGCCTTATCCAAGGGAGGATTAATAATGTTGGCAATCGAGCTTTTGCCCTGAAGAGCCTCGTTCGTGGTCACCAGTTCCACCAGATCGCGCTGGAACTTGCCCTTCCACGACGTGGAGTCCGCAGCGTACTTAGCGAAGTCGAAGTCGGTGGCGTCGATAGCGAACGGGCCCAGAGCCTTCAGTAGCACCTGAAGAGGAAGAGCATCCGAAGCTTGAGGACCGAAGAAGTTACCGTTGCCGTCGCCAGCCAGACTGATGAACGAGTGAACACTGTGGTCGTCCATTTCTTCGATGACACCACGAGCGACAGAGCCACCTTGCGAGTGAGCGAGGAAGTGGTAACCATTCGCGTACGCGGCGGTATCCTTGGCGACGATTTCACGCACTTGCTTGATGGCCATCTGCACCTGCTTGGACAGGGCGGTACGGACAGAGCACGCGTTGGAGCAGAAGTCGAGCGCAGTGTAAGTACGTCCGTCTGCCGTCAAATTGGCTTCAATCACGGCACCATTGGTGGTGTTACCCGTAGCGCCGTGGAAGAAGAACACCGGCAGCTTGGCAGCTCCCGCGGCCTCGTTGGCAGCCGTGGAACCGACGAGCGCAGCAGTAGCAGCGATGACAAGAGCGCGAACGGAGAACATTTATAAAGCAGTGGAGTGGGCTCTGCCGTCGAAATCGAGGAATGACAGGTATTTGCTCCATCAATTTGGTGACCAAAGCCGCTGGACTCGTGCGCGTTGGCATGTACGGTGCCAGCTGTAACCTGAGTATTTCCTGTCGAGGCTGTCGCAGCAGTCGTGCAGATATGATTTCGCCATGTTTCGCTGCCAGAGCTCGAGCAAGAATGCGTCGCCGGTTTCTTGTCGCGTCGGCAACGTTCCAATCCTGAAATGCCATCTCCAGCTGGATTCACAAGTCGAACGGGACAGCTGTAGACAACCGGTGAGTCCTCATTGCTCGCAGTCACTGCAATAATGGAGCGTCAAAATGCTGGAACCGTGTAGGGTCATGTACATTTTCGTTCAAACACCAAATCCATGTTCAAATTTGACAGCAACTTGCAGCCAACAGCCTCGTGGCTCAGTATTATTGAAAGTAAAGAAAACGTCGACTATCGGCGAGTCGTCGATAGTCAAAGTGACAGACGGTGTATTCCGAATCGGAATATCGGAATCCGATATGCGGGGCTAAAGTCATCGAGCCGGCCAGGCCAGTGCAATGCACTGAGTGTATACAGCTGGATTGTCCATCGAGTCAACCTGATCGCGTCCTCGTTCTTTTTCAAGTCGGTCGAGCCTGAAACGGCAATTTCATTATAAGGGGATGTTTCATTAGGGGTAAGAGAACGTTTGCTTTTACCGGTATATAAAAGTACCGGCACGTCAAACAAATTACAGTAGATCAAAGACTTCTCCACTAAGAAATGTTAAAAATTCGTAAGAGACTTATGGGCACAAGTCGGGCACCTACATGCTTGAAAACAGTCGCCTTGAGTACAAAGCCTTAAACCAGCACAGGGAAGAGCTCAGCGTCGTACACGGGTTGATGCTTGCAGAGGACGTTCGTCGCCAACGAGGTGTAATCGAACAGCCAGCAGTTGTGCGGCACATCAGACACCTCGTGAAGGTGAAGACCACCGGCTGCATCTAGCGTCTTCAGCCCGTACAAGTCATTTTGATATTCTTCAGTGTCCTTCATATCAACGATAGTGAAGTCGGCAAACTTGGTCTCAACCTCTTCAAGCGTAGCAACCGTTCTGTACTTGCCAAGAACCGCAGTTTGCCACGGTGACTGAATATCATCTTGCGGTGAGACGAAGAAGTGAGCGGCTTTGAGTTTGACGAAGTTGGCCTTGCGTCGGCCGTACACGTAGCGTCAGTACCGCATTTTTCGAGATTGTTGACTTTCGGGAGGACCTGTCGATTATGGCACGCTATTATCCCGGCCACCAAACCTTGGACAAAACCTTTAAGACAACCCTTCCCTCCTTAAAATCTAATAGCGTGTAATAAAAGATAAAAATCAGCCTTTCTTTTCTTTTAATATTTTGCTTGTTTTGGGCAGAGCCGTCTTACCGGATTGATAATAGTCCAAATACAGTACTGCACCCCGTTTTCGCGGGGGTGGACCATATAGGTAGGATTTGCAAGTAAATCATATTTCAGCATACAAGCTCTAGTTCATTTGGATTTAGGATCATCACATCCGGAAGTTTATCAAAGGTACAAGGGCGCGAAAACGGGGTGCAGTACTGTAACAAGTTAAAATCTAAAAAATTAAAATAACGCAATCCGAGGATTGCTAAGAAAAAGTGAAGAGCTCACCCATGGATGCTCTTAATAATTGTTTAAGATCTTTAACATTCTAAAATAGTAGGCCGGTGAGCCGCCGAAGATAATGACAACGCCGATGACAATGAAGGTGGTGATGATAACATGCTGGACTGTTCATTTTCTTTACACTCAATTTACGAAGTTTTCTACCTGTATTCCAAGTTGAGAGTGTCCTTGCCCCATTTAAAATGGGCAGTGATACCCTAAATTCGGTGTCAAATTCAATTTATTATCACGAGCGTTTAAGCAATTTCTAGAGCCTCTGACCTGGATCCTGGTTTCCCCAAAAGTGGGTTAGTTCCGGTTAGAAACCAACAAATACGGCTTCTATGATCCGCTACAGACGTTATTATTGGAGAGCTGCGTCGGCCAGCAGAGCACATGAGTTGAGCTCGCTCTTCGGTTTCTTCGTCGCTTTCCTCGCGCTCGCTTTTCCGCTGATCTTCGGTCTGAGCTCTAACAGCAACACGATAGAATAATCTTCGAATCAGAGCAATGGTCGCCAGCCAACATTCACGACATTCACGAACGTCTGTCCAAAAAAAAGATTTAATTTTAACTGGATTTCATTTGTAAAACATTCAAGCTCTAATGTTTATGTCTAAGGTCTTCCACGAATAGTCAGTCTTTTTAATAAGAACTTATGAGATAAAATGTACTTCGAAGTAAGAAAATAGGTTTTAGACCTTTCAAAACGAAATGGTACTAAGCCAAAAGCCTACGCTTTCCTGCCCCCCCCCCCCCGCGTGCACACACACGTACACTTCAATTTTCGGCTAAAGTGTTTAAGAAGTTTAAAATTCAGAATTTCCAAGAGTTGGGGTAAACTTTCACGCTCGACTGCGGGAAAATTCTCAAAATTCAGCTTATCGGCTAAAAAAATCATTTGACGACATCAGTCGTTTTTGTTGGGGCTGTTTTCACAAAGACGTGCTGCGCACGAAGAAACCCTGAAATTTGGAGCGCGCTCCGCTGTGAGGGCGTTCTTCTTGCGTTTCGACTTGGTGACGGTGCATCAAAAATTAAGCGCAGGTAGAAACGTACCTTAAATGTGGTCTTAAACGTCCTAATCGCTCTAAACAACTTAGTTTCTCATTGTTGTTAATTATACCGACAGTACATTGTCTCAACTTGCGTTAACGCCAGGATATAAAGCCCGCTTGCATTATCAGCTACAGTAATGACCAGCCGAGCTTCGTTTGACTGGCGCCCCTTTGGCGCCCCCGCGGCTCGCTTTGTTCGCAATTTAACCCCTTGACCGCGAAGGATTTCCGGTGCGAGCACCTCCCTAAACCCTGCGGCGTTGCTATTAGTAGCGTGTATGTCAGGAAAGGGTTACAATAATGAACCTAGTATATTGAGCATCCATTAAATAGGATAGCCGCACTTAAACCCAGCATCTAAGATCGTAAAATATTACTATCCTGAATCATTCCTTCTGGTAGCGCTCCCGGATACAAGATAATTACACCATTTCCCGGGCTGACTGAAAAGGTTTCCAGGCAATGTGAAAAAGGACAAAAAAGTCACCGTCTCAGACAAAAATATGACTCTTCCCAACCAGAGCAAATTTGCTCATCTCCTGTCCCAACCAATGTGAGAGGCGCCAAAACGAAGTCATATCACAAGTCCATGTACTGCTGACACAAAGGCAACGAGTGGCTCACAGATACGTTGTTGGAACTGACGCAGGGGCTAAATATTCTCATTCCTCAATTTGACTTTAACAATGCCTTCTTTCACCGTCAACGCAAACTCTCTGCGCGACCACACTGGAGAGCAGGCCAAGCAGCGCGTCCATCGTGTCTTAAGCGAAGGTGGTGATTGGAAACCTGCTGCAATCCACAATGGCATACCCTACAATACTGCTCGCCGTGCTATCCTGAACAACGCTGCGACGGCCAAGCCGCGAGGTGTTCGTCAGGCTTGTGTGAAAATGACGGTTGAAGTGATGGCAAAGATCGAGGAGTATATTGATGAGGATTGCAGGGCTACTTTGACTAACTTGTGTGACAGACTGCGTAGCGACTTAGATGTTGTTGTAGGCAAGTCATCCGTTCATCGTGCTCTCCAAGACATGCTTTACCGCACTAAGAAGATACGCATTATGAAGTCCACAATGAACAACTCGGATAATAAGATCAAGCGCAAAGCGTTCGTGAGAAGCTCGACGACCATGTTGCCAAGGGAAACATGATCGTCTATCAAGACAAAACCAATTTCAATCTCTATTTATCACGGTCACAGAGCTGGTCCCGTATCGGCGACAGGGCCTTCCACCGTCGCAGGGGAAAAACCTGCACGTACAAGGTGAAGTTTCAGCGCTTACGAGGCTGGTGCTACTGCGAACGCACGAAGGCTCCATCACCAAGGAAGAGAGCGCCCGCTTCATTGCTGACCTCTTTGTCGCAGCGCTGCGAACGGAGGAGTATCGAGAGCTACCTGCTGACAACAAGATCGTCATTGTGACGGACAACGCGCAAGCACACAGCAGCGTCGAAGATTTAGCCCGCCAGCTGCTTGTATCCGATGGCATCCTCAACGACCACAAACTTGAGATTCTGCGGCTCGGACCTTACAACCCAATGCTAAACCTCATTGAGGGGTGCTGAACCGTCCTCAAGTCTAAGATGCGCCTCTTCATGGCGTCAAAGAAGGATGATATGCCTGTGTGAGGCGAGTACAGTACTTACCCAGCGCAACGACTAGCTATCATGAAGGAGGCGGTTGATATGGCGATGCCGTCGATTACGCGGCGCCTCGTGTGAAGTCTCGAGCGGCATGCGGCTAAACTTGGCTGCACTGCTAAACGCGGCGACGACATGGAGCTGGGAAAGTAAGATGTTCACTTTGCCTGGGACGCGTGATGGGCAAATGCCCAGCTGCTGAAAATAGCATTTTTCTTTTCTTAAAACCTTATTCTAGGTTTTCATATTAAAACCTCATTATCACATTGCCCGGAAAACTTTTCAGTCAGCCCGGGAAATGGTATAGTTTTCGTGTCTGACAAAGGAACAAAGACGTAACAACAGTGCGCTAGCGCCGTGTAGTTACTAGAAAAAAAAATAAAATATAGACTTCAATTCCAGCTGCCCAGACACGCGGTGTCGTCTCTTGGGCAGCGGAGAGCTGTCTCCACATCTTCACCTCCTTCCTCACTAGAGTCCGCACTTGCCCGTGGCTTCCTCGTTGCTTGTCCCCGGTCTACGAAGGTCGGATTATCTTCCTCTTCTATGACGGTGGCAGCAACGTGCCATTGCGCCAGCACTTGTGCCAAATTTTAAAGCAGACGACAGCTTCTCCTTTGG